CAGCCTTCACTACCATGTGACCAAAAGAGCTAGAAAGTACCCAGGAACTACAATTGCCACAGTCGAGGGTACTGAACAGAGTGGCAGAAAAATATGAACCAAATTTCATAATTACAAAAAATGGCTAGTGTTACTTAGTAACCTTTTTAAGCCAAGAACTAATTTTACCTCCTTAGATCAACTTTTAGCCAAACATTAGATATGCTTATATACTGAACAATAACAACAGTTAATAAGAACTCAGTGCTTTAAAAAATCAATTATACAAGAGGAAAAGGGCAGCATTTTCCTAGGGAAAGAACTCAGAAGACACAAAGAAACAGGAAAGAATGATAAATAGAAACAAGAATCACAGGAAGGAATTGGGAAGTGATGTTATTGTAGTGCCGGGCCTATAATTAATGTGATAGAAGATCTATATAAATGATTGAATGAAACACTAGTTGTTTGGTAAATGGTCACAGAAATAGAACAGAGAGGGAAACAATAACAAGATCATCTCAGTCATTGTAGAAAAGGCATGATAATACTGTGGTGTTAGCCTAAAAGTTGGCTTTTTTAGCCATTTAGTCTATGATCTCCAGCTACCTTAACTGTAGACACATGGGCTCACAAATCATCAACAGTTGTGGGGATAGGATAAGAGAAAGAGTGCTTTCCATCTGGGCAGCAAGACTTGAAGCAGCAAAACATGAGGCGAGCAAGGCTTGTGATGGCAAGACCCTGGTATGAGTGAGACCCTAGTGGTGGAGAGACAGTGGCATTGCTGTGGAGAAACTGTGACCTGAGGCTTCTTGCATTTTGTGCTGGTCACAGTTCAAGGTTTGGCTGGTCTAGTCGGATATTTGAAGAAGCTGACTTACAAGTGCTCCAGGGCAAACCTTGCTGGATGACTTGGCTTTGACGGCTGAACTGAAACTGGAGCCTGGGCTTAGTAAGGAATTGTGCCTTGGGACTGCTTGCCTAAAACTTGGATTGCACTAGACTGTGTCTTTCTTCTCAGAATTAGCCACAGTTTTTAGCCAAGATCCATCTAACACTAGCTACAATATCCCTAGTACCACATCTCTTCTAAACCCAGCCTGTACTTCTGACAGTTCTCTGTTGATGTACTGTTCCAAAGTACTGAAGAGCAATGATGTCACTCTGGAGACTAAGGTGCACCTGATCCAGGCCATGCTCTTTCCAATCACTTGCTATGCATCAGAGAGCTGGACAATGACTAGGGATGATAGAAGGAGAATTGATTCCTTTGAGCTATGGTGTTGGAGAAGGGTATTGAATATACCATGGACTGCTAAGAGAATGAATAGGTTCATCCTAGAAAGGATTAGGCAAGGAATCTGAAGTGTCATCTGACATACTTTGGACATGTTGCAAGGAGGCACCAGTCCTTGGAGAGGGATATCATGCTTGGGAGGGTGGAGGGACAGTGCAGGAGAGGAAGACCCTCGATAAGATGGATTGATTCAGTGATTGGGGTAATGGGGGGTAGTTGTGTCAGAGACAGTAAGATTGTCACAGGATAGAGCAGGGTTTATGGATGCTGTACATAGGGACACTATGAGTCTCAGGCAATTTTATGGCACATAATAACAATAACAATGAAAATATAGTGTGTACAGTTACAGATATTACCTAGATCCAACCATGTAACTTATAGGGTATATTTACTAGATTTGAAGGCTTGGTATCATAGTTTCATGGACTATCTCAGTCAATTTATACATCATAATTTATAAAGACTGTTTTACACAATTAGGCAAGTATGTGTGAGGTGTTAAAAACCTTCCAGAAGCCATGAAGCTGTCTAAAATGCAAATACAGATCCCTATTACTCTGAGTTAGTGAGGAAGACTTAAGAAGTGATGGCTTCGAATTTGTGGTGTAGGTGAAGATTACCAAATACCCATGGACTTCCAAAAATAACAAGGTTTTCTTGGAGGGAATGCAACTAGGATTCTCCTTACCATACTGGTAAAACATCATCTCACACATTTTATTTTCAGGAGGTATCATCATGGAAAAACTTACCATGTTGGCGAAAAATACAGGGTCATTGAAAAGAGACTGTCAAGGAGGTGGACTGACACAGTGATTGTAAGAAAGAGTGTGAGTCTGGTGGGGACCAGGAGCATGGTGCAGCAGGGTGTAAAGCTTTAATCTAGTGTTGATCGGATTGCTATGAGCAGACAACTCAGAGGAACTTAACAGCACAACAACATCATATAGAACAAAAGAAAATGTTGTTATATACCATCGAACATGTACAATAGCTCTGAAACTCTGAAACCTGCCCTATCCTGAGACAATCTCACTCACTTTGACACAACTAATCCCATTACCCAAGTTACTGTATCAGTTTGTCTTATTTGGGATCTTCCTCTATTGCACTGTCCCTCCACCCCTCCAAGCATGATGTGCTCCTCAAAGGATTAGTCCCTCCTGGCCATGTGGCCGAAGTATGTAAGGACAGAGCTTCAACATCCTAGACTCCAAGGAGAAACTTGATTTCACCCTCTCTAAGACAGACCTGTCTGTTCTGGTCATCCACAGTATGTTCAATATTCTTCTCCAGCACAACTCAAAGGCATCAATTCTTCTGTCATCATTAGTCACTGTCCTGCTTTCTGATGCATAGCAAGTAATTTCAAAGACCATGCCCTGGATCAGGTGAACCTTAATCTCTAGACTGACATCATTACTCCTTAGCATTGAGGTACTAAAAATGAATGAATGAATAAATAAATAAATGAATAAATAAGAGAGAGATTGAGGGATACTAAATGCTCAAAGAACAAACTACATCATAAAAGTAAAGTCCACATGATTCACAGCTTCATCTAACCTGAGACAAAAAGAAATATATTAATTTCTTCTACTGTTGGTTTACAAGTCAAGAAAAATGTGTGTCGGGACTGTATCCTTTCTCTAAACCTGTTCAAGATGTCATGCTGAATGAATAATTTGAAATGGTAGACTTTATGAAGAGGAATGTGGCATCACAATCAGAGGAAGATTCATCAACAGCTTCCATTATTCAGATAATACAACCTACCCTGTTGAAAGTGATGATGACTTGAGACATTTGCTGTAGAAGATCAAGGAGTGCAGCTTTCAATACACATATATCTCACCATCAAGGAAACAAAAATCTTAACTCCTATACCAGGAGTCAACATCATGATTGGTCGAGAAAAGATTAGAATTTTCAACTAATTCATCTTGCAATTAACATCCTTGGTACCAGTAGTCAAGAAATCAGAAGACACATTGCATTGGGAAAAATCTACTGTCATGGATCTCTCCTAAGTGCTAAGGAATAATGGCATTTGTTTAAAGAGTGAGGTGCACTTATTTAAGGCATGATCATTTTAATTACTAGCTAGGCATTTGAAAGTTGGACATCAAATAAGGATGACAGAATTGATGCCTTGAACTGTGTTGGATAAGAGTACTGAGTATGGGGGGAGGGGAGGAAGTGTATCTTGGAGAAAGTGCAGCCAAGTGCTCCTTGTAGCAAGGATGGTAAAGCTTCATTTCACATATTATGGGAATGTTTTAAGTGGGGCGGCAGTCCTTAGAAAAAACCATCATGCTTAGAAAGGTGGAGCTTCAGCAATAGAGAAGAAGACGACTTTCAGGGAGGTCAACTGACACAGTAACAGTGACAATGGGCTCAAGTATATCAGAGATGGCACAGGTTAGGGCAACGTTCAGAAATGTCATGCATTCAAAGGGTCACTAAGAGCTGTTTTTGACTAGACAGCACCTAACAACAACCACCCAAACCACGACTGATTATTTCTGTCAAGGGATCAATGGATGATTCACTTTAAAAGAAGGGGAAATTTATAGATTAAAATTCAAATCTCAATATAAAAGTCTGGATTTACAGGATGAAGAGAGACTAGACAAACTTCTATTGTTCTAAGATATTCTTTGAACTAGGACCTAAAGCCATTCTGTGTGGTCACTTTCATCAAAATAATATACTGAATGGTAAAATTAACAATACTACCTGTGAACACTTTGATCTCTTAAGTTACTAAATATATGAGAGCAAACTGGCAACATTTACCCTAAAACAAAGAAGAAAAGCTAAGGAGGGGAATGACATTCTAGACTAATTAAAAAAAGAGCACAAGCTGTGTTTTCAATTATAAAGATGGTGATACATTATAAAAAAAATGTCAATTTCTTGGAAAAAATTGCATAAAAATTGTAAATGAGAATTTATTTTGCTATGCAAACTATCACCTAAAGCACAACAAAAGAATATAAACAAAAATAAAACCATGCTAATTCTTAGATCTAAATGCCTGAAAATGGTGCGTGCATGTACTTGTTAGCAATAGCATCATGTAAGATAGCACAGAAGTCCACAGCCTCCACTTAGCACATGTATTACGATTCAGGATGATTCCCATCCTTCTTACCCAGTTTGCCTGAAGGGTCTTTGATTTTTTTTTTTTTTAATGTCAGAGAAGCAGACAATGTGAGAGAATTTTGGGAAAGAATGTGAAAAGGGAGAAAAAAGAAGGAAAGAAGCATATAGATTAAAAAAAACTAATTTAGAGATTAAGGAGGAAGAAATTCTGATCTAAAGTATAATGGAAAAAAATAGGGTATAAAACTGAGGTAAACAGACTAGGAAAAGTGAAACTGTGATGCAGTAGAATTAAAATCAACAATAACAAAGATGGGAGCAGGTCTCTAGATTACGACAATACAGATAACCACTGTTTTCTTTATTTGGATTTTATAGAGGACCTAATCCTTTATATACATGCATTAGGTGCATTTATAAGATCCTAAAAACGCTCTGGGAACATTTTCTTTAAGGCTTTATACATTGTAGATAGCAATGTTACTGTAAAAAGGATAATGATATGTTCTGGTTTTGTATACAGCGTTAAATGACGGAAAATATAATCTCATCAGACTATATTTATTTGGGTTAAATAATTGATGTTTAAAATATTTACACATCTACTCACCCAACAGACAGGAAAGGCTCCTTAGATTCAAGTCTGTGGAAAAACATTAAAAATTTATTTTAATATGATATGCGGTAAAAATTGCATTTACATGAATCTGACAAAATTACTACATTTGTTTGGATTAAAATGCATAATTTATCGCCAGTAAAAAGCTATAAAAATATATTAAAGTCTAATCTGGGCTAATTTAAATTCTGATTGGATTAATGCAGAGGCTAATTAAAATGAGAGAACCCTGGAATGGAAATGGAGCATTTAAATGACACATTAAAATAATAATAGGGTTAGCTTAATTTTGATTTCTACTCTTTAAATCTACCTATTTTCATTATTCATGATAAATTGTTTGTCGAAGTTTCAATAAAATAATTATTTGTGGTTGCTAAAAGAGTAAAGAATTTCTCATACATTTGGTTATGTCATAGCTGAGTAATTTATTTCCCAGTAAATACTCTGCAAAAAAAGAGGAGGCAGCATTTACAAGTTGCCCTATCTCTTGGTAGTGGTGGGTGTCAGGCCACAGATTGTTGTTGCTGTTGTTAAAGTGTCAACAACCTGCCTATGACACATAACAACACTATTTCTAGTGGCTCTTAACCCTGCTCTGTCCTGTGCCATCCTCATCATCTCTGACACACTTGAGCCCACCATCACAGTCACTCTGTCAATCCGTCTTGTTGAGGGTCTTCCTTTCCTTTGCTGGCCCTCCCAAGAATGATGTCCAAGGCCTGGCCCTTCCTAAAACATACACAACAAATGTCAGATGCAGTTTCACTATCCTTGCCTCCATGGCACACTGTAGTTGCACCTTTCTGAAGACATTCTTTGTCCTTTGTTCTGTTGGCAGTCCGTGGGTTATTCAGCACTCTTTGCAAACATCACAACTCAAAGGAATTGATTCTTCTTCTCTCACCCTTATTCATTGTCCAACTTTCAGACAATGTTGTCATTAGTTGCTATCAAGTCAACTATGATGAACAGCAACCCTGTGACGGACAGATCTGAACCTTGTCCGATCCTGTACCATCTTCACAATCCTTGCCATGCTCAAGTCCATAGTGGTTGAGACTGTTCTTCTCTTTCTCTGATTCTCTACTTTTTCCAGCATGATGTCTCTCTCCAAGGACTGGCTCATCATGAAAATATGTCCAAAGTAAGTGAGATGAGTTTCACCATCTTTATGTCTAAAGAGCATTCTGGTTATACTTTCTGCAAGACAGATTTGTTGTTCTTTAGGCAGTCTATGGTATATTCAATACTCTCAGCCAACACTACATTAATACTCAAAGATACTAATTTCACAGATCAGGGCTAACCTATTTCCTTTGTAGGGAGCACCAGACGCTGAGTGGTAAGCAATTGTACTGTGAACCCAAAGGCACAAAGATGGACAGTCTCCTCCTGTGATATCTACTGCCTCCGAAAACCTGCTAGAGGGTCTGTTATGGGTCAGTTCCTGATTGATGGTCCTTAGCAACAGCATTTCCTTTGTATGCAGTTCTGATGACTGTCATCCACAGCAAGCTATACTGCTGTCCCTAAGGTCAGGCATCTCCAGTGGTTCAAAGTTACAGGTGATTCTGAGGGAGAAAGGACAGTTTACACCTGTTATGATTTCGAGTCTTCCTCTCCCATCCTCACAAGTATGATTTCCCTCTCCAAGGACTGGTCCTTCCATGCAGCTTGCCCAAAGTATGTCCGATGGAGCTTCAGAATCTTAGTCTCCAAGGAGAAGCCTGGCTTCACACTCTCTAAGACAAGCCTGTTTGTTCTTCTAGAAGTTCATAGTGTATCCAATACTCTTCTCTAGCACCACAGCTTAAAGGCATCATTTCTTCTCTCATCCCTAGTTATTGTCCAGCTTTCTGATGCATAGCAAGTAATTGTGCAGACCGTGGCCTGTATCAGGCGCACCTTGGTCTCCAGACTGGCATTGTTTCTTTCCAGTGAAGAGGTTGCTGACAGCAAACTTTCCCAATGCAATTCATCTTTTTAATACATGTAGGCAAATATTGCAGAAACAAATTTTATCTAAAAACTGATGTTCAAGATTTCTTGAGAAGCTTTCCTGTTTAAATATATTTAATATTTAATTTATTGTTGCTTTCCATAGAATCAGGAGCAACTAATCGCTGACTTTTTAGCATATTTTCAGAGGCAGTAAATCACATGGGAGGAGAATGTCTATCCTCCTGCAGAGCAGCTAGTTGGATTCAAACCATGTGCTTTTGGAATTGCAGTGCACTAGGCCACCAGAGCTCACTAATATCGAAATAGTTACAGGAAAATACCATAAAATTTAATTCTGCATCACTCATTTGCTGAGAATTGACTGACTACCTTTGCTTAACTAAGTGTAAAACTGAAGGATTAGGCCAAGAAATTAAATTTTTATAAAAATCTAAACAATGAAGGCAGTAATTGCTTTTTCCTGGTCTCTCATCCTGTGTGTATAAAAATAGCTCATTAAGAATATGGTTGAATGCATTACTGGGCAGAGCTGACACAAATCTGTGTTACATGCACACTGCTGTTTTAGGTGAGCCACCATAGCCAAGGGTGACTCTCGTAGGGATCAGTACTTTAGCAATGACTCTGGAAGTATCCAGGTGGGCAAGAAGTAGCTCAGACTCCAATATTTTCTGAAACCCAATATTGTTTGATGTTTCAGAGTGACCCTAATAACAATAGACTTTAACCCTGCCCTATCTTGTCCCATCCTTACTGTCTCTGATAAATTCGAGTCCACTTCTGCAATCACCATGTCAATCCTCCTTATCATCAGGGATCTTCCCCTTCTTCACTGATCCTCTACCTTTCCAAGCACAAAATCAATTTCCAAGGAGTAGTCTCTTCTAGCAACCTGTCCAAAGGATGTAAGATGAAGCTTTGTCATCCTTGTCTCCAAGGGACACTCCTATGTAGGTTGTCTTTTCCAAGACATACCTGTTCAGTTTGGGTTGGGTTTTTTGGTTTGTTTTGTTTTACAGTCTTTGGGCAATTCTTTAGGAAATTCAGTACTTTTCTCCAACACTACAGCTCAAAGACATAGACTTTTTTTCTTATGTCATCCTTATTCACTGTCTACCTCTCAGAAGCATAGCAAATATTTTAAAAGGCCATATATGACCCAAATCAGACTCATCTTAGTCTTCAGATTGACATCATTGTTCTTCACTATTTTGGAGACATCTCTGACAATGGCTTGCCCAAAGCAATGTTTCTCCTTATCTCCTGACTGCTGGTGCCAAGGGTTTTAATTATGGATCCAAGTAAGCTTAAAAAATTGATAGTTTCAATCCTTTCTCCATCTATCATATTATCTATTGTCTCCTTCTATCATGATATTGTCATTGTCTATTTTGATGTGACTAAGAGTGTTGTCACTTTTTAAATTTATATTTTTAAGGAAAGTTTACAAAAAACTTGGATTCCCATTCACTCTTTACTGCAATTTACCTCCCTATCTGCCTCAGTTTGCTTTTCTCTTTTACAAGATTCTTTCATTGTTGCACAATTTCCTCCCTCTCCACCCCCCAAGTCCACTTTGCTATGCACCTCTTACTCTGTACTGTTTTCATGCAAATAAAGTACTCAAGAGCAATGGTGTCTCTCTGGAGACTAAGGTGCACATGATACAGGCCATAGTCTTTGCAATCACTTGTTATGCATCAGAGAGCTGGACAATGACTAGGAAGGACAGAAGGAGAATTGACGCCTTTGAGCTGTGGTGCTGGAGAAGAGTATTGAATGTACCATGGACTGCCAAGAAAACAAACAGATTCATCCTAGAGAGGGCTAAACCAGGCCACTCCTTGCAGGCAAAGATTCTGGGGCTTCGTCTGACATACTTCGGACATGTTGCAAGGAGAGACAGGTCTTTAGAGAGGGCCATCATGCTGGGTAGAGTAGAGGGACAGCACAGGAAGGGAAGACCCTCTATGAGGTGGATTGATTCAGTGACTGGAGTAATCGGGCTGGGTGTGTCAAAGGCAATGCGATTGGCACAGGATAGAGCAGGGTTTAGGGCTGTTGTACATAGGGCGGCACATAGCAACAACAACAATACCTAATCATATATTTCTTTGAGACAGTCTCTTCATGGGTATTAATTAGCACTGATGCCCATCGTGGTTAATAATACTCCCTAAACTGAGCAAAAATTAAAGAGTATTATCCATTGCTACTTTAAGTCACTAACCACAGTCCTAGAAACCAGATAACCCACATCTTTTTCTATGGTAAATAGAGGAGGAAATCTTCATGAGGAGTCATCACCAGGCCCTCCTATCCCATGCTTCATTTTTTACCATCAATAATACACAAAACATCATCAGCAACTCAAGGGAGGAATTTCAGATTATGTATTTAGGGCAACCAGCACAGTTGCTGGTGTAGTGGAAATGTGATGTCCACGACGATGCCTAAGAGAGACTGTTAACACTAATAGCTGCAATTGCTTAGATACGTGGAAAGCTCTTTTAAGTAATTTTAGTCCTGAAAATTGAAATAAAACATGATAGAAAGAAAAAAAAAAAGAAACTTCTAGGAGAAACATCCCTTTGGAGAAAAGTGTTTATCCATTTACTCCTTAGAAACAGATTATTGCATTGGAACATGCCCCGAGAGAACCTTTTTGAGACAAAAAAGGCGGAAAAAAAGTAATTGTTTGTGAAGAAAAAGATTGATTTTTATCTTTCTTAAGATTTACTTTTCACACGAGATAGGTCGTGAATTCAATAATACTCCTTATAGGACTTGTTAAAAAAAGAAAATCAGCTATGGTTAAAATAAACAAACCACAGCCTTTAGGAAAACAAAGCACAATCGAAAAATAGAACAGAATAATGAACGAAGATCAATATTTAGGGCTGTAGAAGTTTTAATGTTTTCATAAAAAATACTTAACAATTACTAAAGGCTAGGGATAATTCAAATACTTTATAAATATTGATCTATTTAAACATCATGATACCACTGTAGGTGGTGGTTATTGATGTTAATTCAGGCCAGTTCCAACTCATAGCAAT